TGTCGTATTGTAATTTTCCAACACCTAGCTGAATTTGACAGGAACCATCGTTTGTTTTTCCCATCCAACTGAAATAGACTCTTGAGACCCTTTTGCGTTTTCGCTTTTCGCCAACCAAGTCGGGCCGCAGCGACCGTTTGCGTTTTTTTTATTTCTCTGCTCACCCAGATAGCTCGTGGTTTTTTTTCTCTCGACACCTAGCCAGGATGGACGTCAACCATCCTTTGCTGTTCTGATCGAACCAAGATTGACACGAGCCACCAGTTTGTTTCTCAACGGAAAAGTAAATTTTCTGAATGGGTACCGGTTTTCAAATTCTTTTGTGACCGACTGTGCAAAGTTGGTGACTTAGTGGCGATCAAAAGGACTCAATTCGGACCACACTTAAAATTAAGAGCGAAGTATTTTGGGCCTTATAATATCACGAAAGTTAAGGGTGGCAACACCTATGACGTAATAAAGGAAGGGTGCCATGAGGGTCCCATATGCACCACCACATGTGCCGAATTCCTCAAGAAATGGACGGTGCTTTAAAATTTTTCAACGAATTACTTATTTCTGTTATTGTATAATTCTTGCTCGTTGCTTTTTTTTTTTTTTCATTATTATTATTATTTTGCAGTGTCCTGGAGGGCCAGTCCGTCCTCGGGTGGCCGAAAATGTAGTTCCCATCGCTTGGAGCTGTGATGAAAACCAGATGCCGTGACGTCATTCTCTCTACGAGCTCCAAGGGCGCCAAGCAAAAAAATTAGGGGAATTACCGTTTTGAGATGATAGGCGATTGACGTGGGAGCAGAGACACTGCTTCTGTTCAAAAAGAACTTTGACGAATCATTACTTGTTTAATTCTCTTAAATGTTAAATTTATGTAATAATCGTTTGTCTAATTAAAATGTCTTTCGTTAATTAATTTGTTCATCGTTTAAAATCCCCACATATATATATATGTGTGTGTGTGTGTGTGTGTTTGCAAGATAATATGTTTTATGATTTAACCTATTTTTATTTTATTTTTTTCTATTTTTCTTCCTATTACTTTTGTTAAAAGTTTGTTATATTTTTACTCACTCCTTATTGGTATCTACGATACATAGTATATCTGTAGCTACGTGATAGGTATAATTCCTGAATAAATAAAATTATTGATATAATCATGGGTTGCTAAAAATTATTTTTTTTAATTCAAATTCATTAGGAATATTAAACACGCGTACGCGGTGCTATATTTCAATGATTTGACTTATGACGTTGTTGCATAACCTTTTCAGACAAAATAATGTATTTTAATCATAAAATCCCTGTTAACAAATAGTTTACAAACATGTAACCTTTTAGAAAATTTCCATTTTGCAAAAGATCATACGTAAAATTATGTTTACGTTTCTTCACATACCTGAAGTTTTGAAAAGGCCATTTCTTTCTGCGCTTAAAATATCCATTAACATTCCCCATTTCTTTTTTCCATACTCTTTTCTAAATCCAGCAGCGTAGTTTTTCGAAAAATTTCACCATTTACTCGAACTCGATTTTTTTTCTACCGCCATCCTCAGTAATAAGCACGTGCGAAACAGCCCCTTTGACAACAAACTATCCCCTTCCCCTGAGCCTGGAGCAATGTAGAGGTGAGATAGACTGGTTGCTATGCATTAAACGTCACTTCCGCACGGCGTCCAATTCTTAGTTATGCATGCCCCGTCTGGGCATACTCGTGCAAAAGTTTGAGAAGGCAGTTACAAGCTGCCCAAAACGGGGTATTGCGTATGATATGTAATGCCCCCTGGTACATTCGGAATAGCCAAATTCGTAAAGAGTTAAGAATAAAGGATCTTTGTGATTTTTATTGCCGCCTATCTAGGGCATTTTATGATAAACAGGAACTTTTGGACAATCCTGTGGTTGTTAACTATTGTTATGATACTAGGGACCCCAATTTCAGTAAACGCCCAAGGGCGATCCTAAATGTTAGTAATATGTAATTTTTGTATATGTGTTATACAAATTGTTGCTCAGATTCTTTATTGTATATTGTTCTTTTTTCCTCCTGATTGCATTTTGTTTTTACTAGTGGCACTAAGGCGTCGCACTTCGTATTTTGTTTCTCTTGTGTGTACATGTATTCTTCTGTGAAGTAGTTGTTAAAAAATAGTTAATTATGTATGGATTAGTAATTAGGTACTTAAGGGGAAAAATATGTATTTAAATATTAGCAATTATGAATTTAAACTCTTACTCATTTAATTATTTAGCACATTCAGTTATATTTCTCATAATTCGAAACTTTTATCATGTTATTCGATGAGGTGTAGGGCTATGGCGCCCAGGCACCCTGGTGGTTAAGCACCGCAGTTCAATGTATGAATTCCACTTCACTTTCCGCCGACGGAATTTGAAGGGGCCAGACTCGCTCTCCCTTCTGCTGTCAAGTGGAAAGAGAATCCCGACTGGTTTTCCGATATCGATCTCGACCGGTGTCCAGACTAGACCCCGGAATTTGAAGGGGCCAGACCAAGGCCAACTAGATATCTAGTTGGCCTCGGCCAGACTCACTCTCCCTTCTGCTGTCGAGTGGAAAGAGAATCCCGACTGGTTTTCCGATATAGATCTCGACCGGTGTCCAGACTAGACCCCTTTGAGACTGTATCAAGGAGGTTAGAATAGAAGGAGGGAAGGTTCAACTCAAACAGTGAAGCTTGGCGGCCATCTTCCTGTTATCACCGTGACTTGTGCAAGGAAGTCTGTCATTGCAACATTTTTTCTTTTCTTTTTGAAGCATGTCAGCTTGTATTGCATATGAATGCACAAATAGATTCTCGAAAAAAATTCTGGGCGTTATTTTTCACACGTAAGTATTAATTTTCTTTTTTTATGTAATACGACAACTATGTCAAAAAATATCACAATGTCATGTTGGTTTTCTTTCCAGATGTGAAAAAAAAAGGACTTAAATAATCAAAATAGGTTATTTAATATAACTATAATCAAAAATATGTTAAATACATTTTCAACGTTTCTGTTTATAGCTGGTATCTTCGTTCCTTAAGATACAATGCTATATGGTAGGATTTAAATTGTATAATTTGAACGTTTTAGTTAATTCGTTTTATAACTTTCATGAAAAGTAAGAAATCAATTGTTACTATTTTTATTAATTGTAAAGGTGTTAAATAAAGCAATGCTTTTCTTTATATATTAATTATTATTCATTTTTTTTTAAGTTAAGATAAACTGTTCTGTTGTTAAAATTTTTTGCATAAACTTACAAATTTCTGGGCAGTATTATAGTGATAAAATTAAGTAAAATATTTACATAATTGAACATGTGGAAAGATGTATCCAAAAACTTATATAGGTGTATTTCTGTAATTCAACTTAATTAAAGGCAGTTTCTTTGAGATTAATAAATATGAAATACGCATAAACTGAAATCAATGAATTCACATAAATCTGTTTTATTTTATTAAGATTTATTTTCTAACCTAAGCAAATCCTTGAAATATGCAGAAACATCATTTTTTAAAGGCTTAATGTTATGCGCGCATGCATTTAGATTTCGAACTATTTCTTAATAATTTGCTTTGTACATAGTAAATTATGGATATCATCTTTATTACTTTAAAACAAAAATTCAACAATAGCGAGGGATTTCATTATAAATTTAACATATTTTTACTGGAAAATAAAATGCACGGAACAGCTTAGAAACACGTACATATCACTGCCGTAATGCAATGTTTTGAAGTCACAAACATGGACGCCGCTTGTTCGGCGGAGTTTCATTCCCCGATAGTGGAGGAAACTGCGAACCCTCCCTGCTTCTATTCTAACCTCCTTGGACTGTATCACCTGTTTGACGCTGCCACTACAAAAGTCCTAATGCTTTGCCAATTAAATTACAGTCTTCAGTCTGATATCTGTTGCTTTCATGAGATTTAGTAACTATGAGCAGGGAGAAAAACGAGGTTATTGCACTTTTGGCCTTTGTTGGCGGAGTTTAATATGAAGGGTTATGATGAATAAATAGTACGAGAACGGTTGAAAGGATGCACAGTTGTAGGATCATAGTTTGCGAGTTGTGCAATATGATGGTGTTTTCAATTTTGTACACTTCTGAAGCAGTTATGCACGGTCATCAGTATATAATCTTGGGCATGAGGAATTTCTAAATCCTGATTTGTCTGTTGATTTCTGGCAAACCACGCTGAATTTGTTAGGCTTCTAAGGATTTTATTTAGCAGGACGATGATCTTGCGACGATAATATTTCTGCGCGGTGGCCCAACACGGCGCTGTATCGAAATGTGTTTGCTGAATTAGTGTAAGATATAAAGTTCTTTTAATATTAAGATTTATTTTTTATTTCCGCCCGATTAAACTGTAGATCGACATAAAAGTGGCATATGGCACATGATCTTTAAACGTTAATTGTTCATCTAGAATGACTCCTAGATATTTTGTTGAACTGACAACTGGACGTGGGGAGTTATCTATTGTAATGTTAATATTAACTGACTCATGTTTTATGATACCTACTAAATAGGGCGATATTGCTGTTGCTGGTGTTTATTTTGAATTTGTATAATTTATACCAGAGATTTATGAAGTTAATTCCAAAATGTAAATTTCATATGCCATGTTGCGGTCTGCGTTACATGACATAATAATGGTATCGTCAGCATATTTCACTATATATTTTTCTTTTTTAAAGTCTGGTAATATATTTGAAATCTCTTGAACTGCTTTCAAGTTCAGCATTCCCTTCTGTTCCATTTCTGCCGCTCGATTTTGCCTAGAAAGTTGCTCCACGAATACATTTGCCCCAAAACAAGTAACCTTTAAGCATTTTATTGTAATAATTAACTTTATGTAACCTAACAGAATCTTTCCGTCATTTTTTGGTATGGTTGAAGGAATAATTAATTAATTTGTTAAGAACAGTGAAGACACTTTTTAATCTGAAAATGGCAACAAGATGCATTATTTGTGTATGTGTGACATAAATAGTCAGTTAGTTTGAAGTTATGGCATGTGTCACTTAATATCTCGTTTATAGCTTAAATATATATGAAATACTTTTTGTATGTGCAATGAATTTCTCCAACTGATCTTGAGAATTCGACTGTTAAGATATAGTGTAGTTTTACGTCCTTATTTTTTTTAGAAATCCTCCGAGCAACTTGGCGTTGTTGGTTGTGCTGAGCTTACATTCTAGACCTGTTTAGTTATTCATATATCGAAATGTGCATTTTTAAGTGGTGGAATTTTATTACTTGTTTATTGTAGAATGCCAGCGTCTTTGATTTGCTGTTATATTTTCAAAACGTTGATTTTATTTTACGTAAAGAGGGCAATGCACTGTGTTACGACAGAAATCTAGAAGTCACTACTTTTTTGATGAGGTATGAAGCATATTTACATTTAATATACAATTAATTCACAGTTAATATAAAATGGTAACTAAATCTCTTTACCATTTTTTTCTACTATGAGAAAACATGTATAACGGGATTTTGCTAATTGAAAAAAGTGTTAATGGTCATTATTATGATAATTTTTTAGTATTTCTTATGATGTGTATGCGAAACTGATTTAAACTGGTCAATTATTTTATATAGGATGTTTGAACGTATGCATCATATTCATATTTATACATGTAATTTTTGTCTATAATCATGAGGTTGAAATGTGGAATTTTTTATTTAAACAGCTTGAAAGATGCTCGTGATCTTTCACTTACTGTTGATACCAGTGTATAAATTTGCTGTGAAGCAAACTTTATTTATTTATTTTTTAAAAAAAGGTTGGTATAACTTCTTATCTTGATCTGTGCTGAATTGTTGGTTCTAACACTTTGACGAGGTTCAAAATTTTTCATCAAGGTAATGCACCAGAAGCAAGGCCATTTACTAAAGACTGCCATATTAAGAATTCCATAAAAGAGTTATTAAACAAATAAATAAACACACAAGAAATATCTGTAATAAAACACTTGTTGGAGAAACCTTTCTGTAACTTGTTTTGGTGCTTGCATGTGTATGGAGAAAACGGCCAGTGTTTGCCTAAAGAGAATAAATAATTACCAACTTTGGCACCATGCACAGAAATATTATATTACTACCAACTGTCCTGGTTTTACAGAGAGACTTTTCAACACATCTTCTGGTCTCCTGGTAGATCATCGAATCTCCCAGTTTTTAATTTTACTAAGTAAAGTTGCAAGGCAAAATGTTTGCCCACAGTGAATAAAAGTTATTGAATTTATGAAACATAAGTTGTACAAATTGTATTCCCTAACCCCTAGTGAATTTCAGAATAATTTTTTTCCTATTAAATTTTATTTCATCTGAATTGAATTATTTTTTCGGTAATTTTGTATTATCCACCCAACGTTGAGAAGAATCCTTGAACCGGTTAATCTTTGGATTATGGTAACTTGGCGATTATTTGACGACCAACCCTGTTACAGCACCTGCTAGTTTTTTTGGACACCATTTTGTTTTCACGAAGTAAAGGCATGTTTTTTTTTACTCAACATTTTTTCTCAACAATCTGCTAGCCAAATTATGCTTATGGTAGAACTTTTATGGAACAAAAGTGCTTAATCATGACGAAGATTAGGTGCGAAATTGGGAGAAAGTGCAGAATCGCAAACTGCTTGCCATGTTTTTAAGAATTGCACATACACGTCGATCTATTTTCACTTCAAAAAAATCCCAGAATTGCCCAAAAATGGCATTGCATACACTCTTGACTTTATCCATGTACACTGCTGAAGTCCTACATAGTAACTTTTATCGCCTTACCAAAATGTCGCCAAACTACCTGTTACCATATTCCAAAGATTAGCCCCTGAGCCAAAGAGAGCAGCCCCACCCGACATTATTTTACTAGATAAAGCAACCCAAAAAATAACAAACATGTTATTTTATATGGGAACCCACTAACAGTTGCCCAGCATTTACCAGCATGTAATCGGTGTCATTTTGGAATTCCCATGAACTAAATTATCAAATTGTATGGAAATGTACTGTTAAAGATTATCGGTAAAGTGTTCAGATGCGAATAGGAAATTGGTTTGATTACACCCAAACATCATTTATGACTGCAGTTCACGTTATTTATTGCTGCACTAAACAATATACATCCCGTAAGTTTTGTCATTCTTGCTGTACATATTGTCTTGATCAGGGGCAGTGTCTCGGAGCATGTGGTGCATACCTATAAAATTCAAACTGTGTAAGAATTATTATTTTTGAACTCATTCATGTAGTAAAATTCCTGTTATCCTTATTAATTACTTTAAACATACAGTTTTGCATTACATCGTCAAATTTATCTAGAATCAGAAATTCAAAAAAGAACAGATTGTGCATTGTTGTATCTTCTGTAATTCTACCTTTGCATGCTGTTTGTATTCAAGCATCATTAATGAAATAACATTTTGCGAGGACAAAGGGAAAATTTTATCCATCCTTTCTCCCACACTGTTCCCGGAGAAGGCATGGATGTAAAATTTGTCCGTCCCTCCATAGGAGGCAGGGTGGCCTACTTATACCTACTTATACTCTACCCTAAGCAGATAGCCCTCAAGGCTTTGCCGTAATCACATAAACCAAACCAAATCTTAAGATATGAAAAATTTTATGCAGATCAAGATTTGAATTCAGTTAATGTCCTGTTCCAGAGCTAAATTTGTAAGTGAAATCATAATTCTAGCCAGAGCGCATTTGAGCTTCAAATCAGACAAACTCTGTTGTATACCTGAACTGCAATATTAATGGAGAATACCATTAACAGAAAATATTAATGCTATATTTTATTTAGCAGTTTGTTAAACCAATGTTAATTCTAGAAACAGAATAAAATGACTGAGTTTCCATGGGAAGATCAAGATGTGGGAAAACTTCGGCAGCGAAGGAAGAAAATCCACCTTGTAAAATGCGAATCCAAAAAGAAATTTTGGTAAAAATATACGGTACTATTCCATTTTGAGGGACGTAAAAAATTGCAGCGAAAATGTATGTGCAAAAGTGCCAAATCTAGCAAACATGCCCATTTAACAGCACGCCAAATCTAGCATACTTGCTGATTTCAGATTGCGTAAGTTTAGATAGTTCTATATTTCTCAAGATGCCATTGAAATACTAGTTTAATTTTTAAATCCTTTTCTGATATCCTATGGATTTAACAATTTAGGAATTGTCCATGACGAAAAGTCTGCAACAGAATTTTTTCAAAGAAAAGGCATCATTCATTATATAAAATTATGTTTGAACAACCAACGAGATGAAATTATGCTTTAACGATAACTCACTAGCGAAATAGCTATGCAGGAATCCACTCAGTTATGTATAGCCTTTTTTTTATATAAATTATAATAATGATTTGAAATAGTTATTTACTCTTATGCTTCCATTCAGTAATGTTTAGCATTTTTTATATAAATTATAATAATAAAAAAGTATTCTATGAAATTAACCTTTCATACAAATTAGAACAACAATCTTTAGATAGTTATTTACTATAATACTTCCTTTCTTGCATTAGGGTTGCCAGTTACTTTTGGCAGCACTAGCATCAACAATAGTTTGGTGATTTTTTATGAGCCTCAAAACAGAATAGTACCAAATATACTTACGGGTACCCGTTGGCGATTTCTGGCGGTACATGGGTACCAAGTTCGTGCAGTTCTTTGACTTGTTATTTGTCTTGTGCAGTGGCGATTTTTGGCGCAAAAATTGCCGCTACACAAAGCCAAAATAACAAGACAAAGAATTGCACAAATTCTGTATCCATGGGCACGTCAACCTCTTTTCACTTAAAAACCATCAAAGAATTGCACAAACTTGACATTGTGCACTCCCTTGACTTTGTCCATGTACACATTGAACTATATTCACTTAAAAGTCAAAGGAACAGCCAACAAAAAATATATAATCTTAATAAACTATATGGTTGATCTTTAGATTATGGTAACTTGGCGATTTTTTGGCGAAAATTTGGCGACCAACTCTTCTACAGCAACTCTCCATTTTTTTTTCCCCTGCCGCCATTTTGTCTTCACGAAGTAAAGACATGTTTCTTCTCTTTTTATCTACTGAACACTTCTTCCAACAATCTACTAGCCGAATTACGCTTATGCTAGAAATTTTATCTAACAAAACTGCTTAATCATGACAAATGTTCACTGCAAAATTGGGAAAAAGTGCACAATACCATACTCCTTACGCGTTTTTCAAAATAACACATACACATAAACCATGTACACGTCGACTTATTTTTACTTAAAAAAACATCCCAGAATTACACAAAAATGGCATTGCGCACACTCTTCACTATATCCATGTACACTGCTTTTCTCATAAATTAGAAAAGTTTCACGAAAATACATGACAATTTTCTGAATCTTTAAACCCAGTAAAAAGAACATATATGAAATTACCTGATCACGAAAAAGTATATACCCTTTCCAAATATGAACATTTCCACATATAAAATAAATAAAATATCCAAAAACTTTTACCTCTAAATCATCTATTATATTATAAACGTCACCAACGAATTCATACCGCAAGCATTACAAATACTTAGTGTCAAATATTTAAATTATTTCCATGCACGTTTATTTCAACTAAAACGTATACCAAATTCCTACAAACATAAAATTCACAAAATAACTATCATTTAATTAAAATATCACTAAACCATGTACACGTCGACTTATTTTTACTTAAAAAAAAAAAAAAAAATCCCAGAATTGCACAAAAATGGCATTGCGCACACTCTTCACCATATCCATGTACACTCCTTTTTTCTCATAAATTAGAAAAAATTTCACGAAAATGCAATGACAATTTTCTGAATCTTTAAACCCATTAAAAAGAACATATATGAAATTACCTAATAACGAAAAAAAGTATATACCCTTTCCAAATATGAACATTTCCACGTATAAAATAAATAAAATATCCAAAAAACTTTTACCTCTAAATTATCTATTATATTATAAACGTCACCAACGAATTCATACCGCAAACATTACAAATACTTAGCGTCAAATATTTAAATTATTTCCATGCACGTTTACTTCAACTAAAACGTATACCAAATTCCTACAAAACATAAAATTCACAAAATAACTATCATTTAATTAAAATATAATTAAATTCAAAAACACTACTTAAATATATAATAAGCACATACATTAAATTGATAAAAATTAGCTTACAATCCTAATTACTTTAAACTAAATCATTGCTAATAACAATTTTCCCAATAATACCAAATTACTTTACTTCCACCTTACATTTAGAACAATGCATAAAAATAATATCCTCAAATAATTAAAAATACTAACTTACCTAATCTTCTTCAGAATCTTGATTATGTGTCCGATAAA